ACAGATCTTGTTTCATTTTTCTGCAAATGGATCTCCAGTTTTGCCAGCACCATTTATTAAACAAACATTCTCTTCCCTATTTAATGGATTTTGGCTCTTTGTCAAAGATCAGCTGACCATAAGTGATGGATCTATTTCTGCGTTCTCAATTCTATTCCATTGGTCTATGTGTCTGTCATTGTACCAATACTTGGCAGTTTTGACTACTGTCGGTACACATACTTTCATTCCTACAGTTCATTCTGTCTGGAATGTTTTTCTTCCCATCATTCCAAACATCCATTTCCTTGAATATTTATTTCCAATGCTAGCTTCCATATGACACCTTCTTTGATTCCCCTCATCTGGAACTGGTCTCTTCTACCTCTGAATTCTTTCAACCCTTTATTTATATCTCTATTGTTATTAACTATTTATGTAGCTCTTTTTCACTAGTAGTTTGTGAGTTTCTTGAGCACAAAGTCAGTCTGACTGATCACTTACTACTGTGTTTGTACACAGTAAATGCTTAATATACATACTTAATGGTTAAATGAATGATGACAGTGAGTGGATTAATATTTTAATTTAAAACACCACTCTAAGGAACTATCCACATTCTATAGAAGATAAAGAATGTAAACAAAAGTATCATGAGATAATTGTCTAAATTTCTACTGTATTTAACAAAAACCTCTCTTGGAAAATACTGAGATTGATAGCACAGGTCAACTTGTCAGATGTGCTACAAGAAAAAGCTGAGAAAATTTGGTTAGGGAATAAAGCTGGCAGGTGTTTTGAAAAAGCAGAATTTGTACCTAAAGCCTGCAGAACAGACACACTTTAAGAAGAAACATTTGCACAGGGAAAGGGCAACCAGAGGGAGGAAGTAGGAAGAGAGCTGTTACATTTTGGGGATTGCAGTCAATATCATGAAACAAAATGTGTATGGACTGTTGTATGTTGTTGTTGTCATCAGATGCCATTGAGTCTCTTCTGACTCATAGTGACCATATGTACAACAGAACGAAACACTGCCCGGTCCTGTGCCAGTCTCACAATCCTTGCTATACCTGAGCCAATCACTGCAGCCACTATGTCAATCAATCTTGTTGAGGGCCTTCCCCTTCTTTGCTGACGCCTCACTTTACCAAGCATGATATCCACCTCCAGGGAATGGTCCCTTCTAACAACACGACCAAAGTAGGTGAGACAAAGTCTGGCCATTCTCGTTTCCAAAGAGCATTCTGGCTGCATGTCTTCCAGGACAGATCTGTTCATCCTTTTGGCAGTCCATGGTACTTTCAGTAATCTTCGCCAACACCACAACGCAAAACCATCAACTCTTCTTCGGTCTTCCTTCTTCATTGTCCAGCTCTCACATGCATATGAGGCAATTTAAAATACCATGGCTTGGGTTAGGTGCACCTTCGTCTTCAAGGAGACATCTTTGCTCTTCAGCACTTTAAAGAGGTTTTTTGCAGAACATTTTCCCAGTGCAATTTGTCATCTGAAGTCTCGACTGCTGCTTCCATTGGTGTTGGTTGATTGTGGAACCAAGTAATATGAAATCTTTAACAACTTCAATCTTTTCTCCATTTATTGTGATGATGCTTATTGGTCCACTTGTGAGGATTTTCATTTTATGTTGAGATGTAATCCATATTGCAGACTGCTGAAGTCTTTAATCTTCATCAATAAGTGCTTCAAGTTATCCTCACTTTCAGCAAGCAAAGTTGTGTCATCTGCATATCGCAAGTTGTTAATGAGTCTTCCTCTAATCCTGATACCACGTTCTTACTCATATAGTTCAGCTTCTTGGATTATTTGTTCAGCATATACAATAAGTATGGTGAAAGGATACAATCCTGACACACTCCCTTCCTGATTTTAAACCATACAGTATCCCTTTGTTCTGTTCAAACAACAGCCTCCTGGTCTATGTACAGGTTCCTGATGAGCACAATCAAGTATTCCCATTTTTCTCAATGTTATCCATAATTTGTTGTATAGAAAATTAATTTGCTCTTTATTTTCACCCAAATCACAATCTAAAAAAAGAAGAAGAAATATTTGGGCCCAAACATCTCTCAACAGCTAGAGCAAAGTTTTACTAACCTGTGGAGGGGGCTGGTGCACATTGGGATTCACTAGAACTCCCAAAGGCTCTGCAGAAGATCTATCCAATATGGTCAGTGGCTGGTTCAAGGTTCCATTGGCAATGGCCTGTATTGTTTCATCTAGTCTGTGATAATAAACCAAAAGGAGGAAATAATTGATAATGTTCTATGCTCAGAATATCCTAACTTACCATCAACATAAAACTCTTCAACAACAATAAAATCTGAACTTCAAAGAGGAGTCCATGGATGACCTCCCTCCCCCTACAACTTTCTTCTCTTCACTTCAATTATTCTAAGGAATATGAGTTAGGAAAAGTTCTAGGACACCAAGAAAATAGGTAGGGTACACTACAATCATTGAATAGTTTAACAGGATCATTAAAAATGCCAAGATTAACAATGGAACAAATGTGAGTGATCAACACAGTGACACTGAGGAAGAGGAAGACACAGAGAGGTGTATGGGAGTCACAGATAACAAAGATGAACCCTTTTGCCCAAAAAGTACTAAGTTGTCAGTTATGGCAAACATTGATATACAAGTGGATAGGTGGGTGGACAGGATGAATGATTATGTATGTCCATGCAGGGGGGAGTGTGCTCATGACCATGTAGAGGGTTGGCAATGTTCTTACAAGTGTATTTGTATGTTCCATAAGAATTTCTAGGTATATAGTAGAGCTGTCAAGGTACAAGGTTGTGGTTACTTCTTGGCCCATCGAGCTACCCAAAGGGAGCAAGTAGTTGGACCTGTGGCTTGGGACCATGGTTGCAGGGGACATCAAGCTCAAATGGCATAGCATACTGTACAAAAACATTGTTCCACATGCTACTTTGGTGAGTAGTGACTGGAATCTTAAAAGCTTGCAAGAGGCCATCCAGATACAATGATGGGTCTCTCCTCGTCTAGAACAAAGAATGAAGAAAACTAAAGATGCATGGAAACAATTAGTCCAAGGGACTGGTATACCATGCAATCCTCGTCCTATACAACTATGAAACCAGAAGAACTAGATGGTGCCCAGCTGCCACTGTCAACCACTCGGAGTGGGATCTATGTAGGAGATCCCGGATAGAGTGGAAGAACAATGAGGAACAAAACTCAAAATCATAAAAAAAAAAAAAAGAGGACCAGGTTTGCTAGTCTGATGGAGGCTGGTGGAACCCCTGAGACTATGGTCCCTAGCTGCCCTTCAGGTCTGGAATTGAGACCACTCCTGCGGCTTGCAGCTAAACAAAGACAAGCATATGAGCTGAACATTTACATTGGGTAGATACACTCCTTGGAGAGCTCAATTATGGGAGAATAGAAGGGCTGTGTATGCACAGGGAGGCAGCTCAGGGGGCAGGAGTGCATGGGAGGGAAGGACACAGGGAAGAGGTGGTATGGGGAGGAGGTGGGAGGAAAGCTGCTGCATTATGGGAGATTACATTCAATGTCATGAGACAAAATGTATGTGAACTGCTGTGTGGAAGACTAATTTGCTCTGTAAACTTTCACCCAAATTACAATTGAAAAAAAGAAAAAAAAATGCCAAGATTTAAAAAGCTGCTTAGAAAGAGTCTGGCCCATGGAAGAAAATTTATTTTATTACAGCCTGTCTACTCAGTCTCTTGCCTTCTCAACACACCCTATACATTGTTATTTCTCTACCCACTCAGGAGTCTCTCCTCACTCCTCCATGCTGATTTGAATTCTACCATTGCTTCAAGATCCAGCAGTCTTAAAGGAGTCACCTGTTGGCCCAGCACAAAGTGCTTGTTCCCATCTCTAAAGTCATGCAACATCTACTATCTAAACAGTCATGTAATAACCTCTCATGTTATCCTACGCCAATGGTGTCTGCTTTGATTATTTAGCTCTAAACCTATAAAAGAATGTGATGAATTTTCATTTAAGGATTACGGAAATAATCCTACAGGTTATTAGGAGATCACAGGCCCTGAAGGACCTGTATTCTATTCTGTATGTCTACATCACTTGCTGTTGTACTCCATGTTCCTGCTGGATGCTTGATAAACATATATGAATGATAATAATTCTAAGGCACAAAATAATGAAAAGTTCCTACTACTAGGAAAGGCTGAACTTGACCTTGAATTCAATTCAAGAATTATTTGTTGGGAATCTCTTATAGGCAAAGCAACTTAGAATGTAGGGAGGACATAGTTCCTGCCTTCAAGAAGCCTTCATTCTAAGTGGCAGGTTTAAGACAGCTGTATGTTGTTGTTGTTGTGGTTATGTGCTGTCGAGTTGGACCTGACTCATAGCGACCCCTCCTTGGGTTTCCGAGGCAGTATCACTATGGAAGTAGATTGCCCCATCTTCCTTCCGAGGAGTGGCTGGTAGGTTTGAACTGCCAGCCTTCTGGTTAGCAGTCAAGTGCCTTAGGCACTATGCTACCAGAGCTCCCAGACAGCTATATAGGTAATGGAAATACATGGGAGGATGTAACAATTAATAAGATAGGCATAATCTATCCAGTGGTTATTATCACACCATCCTATGCATTTTAGCCAGTAGGGTTAAGGCAGAGGAGATACCTGAAAGGCAAAGATTTAGACGGGATTTCCACACCAAATAAAAGGCAGAAACAAAAGCATGAAGCTAAAAAAAAAAAAGTCAGGAATTTGAGAAAAGAGATGGGTCTAAAATAGAGTAGAGATAGTGGGATCTGAAGGAGGGAAATGGATTTAAGACATATTACAGTGGTAAACATATTCAGAACTTTACAATCTATAAAACAAATAATGCAAATAATTAACCAAGATATTTTAGAACAGCAAAATTTACTAATATACAACCAAAGCAATGTGAATTTAAAACTATGATGAAATACCATTTTTTCATGTGTCAGAATGGCAAATGTTTTTTAAAAAGTTGACAAGAAGATGAAGAAACAGGCAGCTTCATATCTGGTATGTAACTAGTAAGTTAAAAAGTACACACAATTTCCATTTTGAGATATTGCCATATTTGCCTTTCAAAAGGCTATATAATATTATTTAATACTCCTATCCATAGTAAGAGAGTATTTTCCTTCAGTCATACATTATGAAATATCTTTTTTTAAAGCCAATTTGATAAGCAAAAAAATGATACATTGTGTTTTTAAATTTGCATTTCCCTGATTATGAGTTGAGCATCTTTTCAAATGTTTATTGGCTGACTGTTATTATCTCACCAGTGAATTGTCTGTTCTTAGATTTGCCCATTTTTCTGCTGGATTTTTTGTTGTCTTCTATTTTGCAGGAGATCTGTATATAGTATGGATACTATTCTTATTTATTTACCAAAGGGGCAAGGAGGCTACATCTTCTGACCTCCTCTAACCCCACAAGAGGAAGACAGAATCACTATCAGTAGCCCAAGGCCTACCCCTTTGAGGCCAGACATGCCACCTCCCTCCTACACAGAACTCACAGATTATGGGGCTTAGTAAGGAAGCAACAGGCTATAATTCAAGTTCAGGAACACACTCAGTCTCTCTTAGCCCACTGTCTCTCAGCTGACAGTCTCTCCCAGTCTCTCTCTCTCAGCAGTACATGTCTCTCAGGAGCACATTTCTCTCAGCAGCATGTCTTTATCAGCCAGCAGTCAGAGAGACACCTTCTGCCTTTAGGAAGGCTCCTTTTGAGTCTGGCAGAGTGGCCAAACTAACCAATCCCAACATGAGAATTCTATACACCTGAGAGAGAGTGAACTTCCCAGAAGATTGCTTCCTGCCACTCTCACCCCAGGTAGATAACTTTAACAATCAGGAGCTACTTAGTTGCTCACAGCAAATTCCACCAAAGAGTTCACAAAGATTTAGGACTAGAAAAGCCACACTATGTAATTTACTACACCCTCAATATCCATACTATATTAAAAATGTTTAAAACATTTTCTCCCCATCTGATACTATCTTTTTACTTTATTTATAGTACCTATAGCTATATCTTTATGACTTCTGGGTTTTGTATTTTGAGTCACATCAAGACTATTAAAATTTCTTCTATTTCTTTCTGATTCTTTTCTTTTACATTCAATTCTTCAGTCATTATCACAGTATGATCTCAGGTACAGATATAACCTAATTTTTTTCCAAACTAGTGGTCAATCATTCCAACTCATATAGTTAATCTTTTCCATGCTGCTTAGAAATGTTACCTTTATCAATCACAAAATTCACAGACATACCCATGCACACACAGACACACAGGTCTCTTTCTGGATTCTATTATGTTTCATCGATTATTCCTGTGCTCAAACTATACCTCACGGTTTTAATTACTGTAACTTTATAAAACACTGTTTTTATCTAGTAGGAAAAGATACCCTGTTTATTTTCAAAAAAAAAATTTTTTTAGCTATTCCTATGTTTTCCATTAGAAAAGAATACATTTTTAAAATCAACAAAAATAACAGATTCACTACTACCCTTTACAGTCAAACTACTCTCTTTTTCAGATCCTTTCTGATGCTGCCCACTTACTTGCTGTGATATTCTGCTAGTGGATTTTCTTCTTCCAAGATCTTCCTCCCTGCAAAGTCAATAGTGATCTTCTTAGAGAGTCGAGAGGCATGTCGAAGTTCTCTCAGCTCCCCCTCTCGTTTTTGCAAGGTTTCCCGCTCAATTTTGGACAACCACTGGTTAGAATCACTGGCAAAATAATCTGACTCATCATCAATGACTTGGGTCCTTCGAATACTAACAACAACAAAAAAAAGAACATATGGCAGTTAGGTCATCAACAGGGTTTGATTACTGAAAACTGCTTCAAGATAGTTCATTCTTCTCCTGTCCTGGACGTTAATATTTCAAATACAGATACCAAAGAATGTTCATAAATCAGGTCAAGTTCTGCCTGGTTCCCAACTTCTGCATATATCTTGTCCATACTGCAGGCTCAGTCCAGCTCCTAGAACTAATCTCAACTTCAGGCAGGAAAAAAAGAGCACGATAATCCACTGTCCTTCTATCTTTTTACTAGTCTAGCGCTCACCTTCTGAAAATATGGTATCGCCTGGTTTTGCGGCATCTGAGTTCATATCCTGGGAGCTTATATAATATCCTAGCCCCTCTATAACTAGGAGTTAGCTTATTCTTGCCAGGCCCTTTTCTCCCCTTTTCTTCAGGAACTTAAGTTCTATTCTAAAATGTCCTGTGGCTACATTATCTATTTACTCTTAGAATTCAAAAAACCAAACTCACTGTCATTAAGTTGATTCCCTTCACAGCACCCCCATTGGGTTTCTAAGGCTGTACATCTTTATGGAAGCAGACTGCCTCCTTTTTCTTCTACAGAGTGGAACAGCTGGCGGGTTTGAACCACCAGCCTTTTAGGTTAGCAGCCAAATGCCTTAATCATTACACCACCAGAGGTCTTTATTCTTAGGACATCCTATTTCTCTACTACATATTGGTTCCCCTCCCCCACAACAACTCTATCTCCAGTCCCTCCACTAATATGCTGGGCTAAGTTCTAAGATATGGCAATCAAGCCTATCTCCAAACCAGAGCTCTCAGGATCCAATTCTCTCATTCCACAGATAATGATGTTAGGGTTTTCACAAGTTAAGTGATTATTCTAGTTCCAAATCCAGTTAAGACTATATTTATGCATAACTACAAATGAGTAATATGCACAGGCATACAAGAAACACTAAAATTAGATTCATATATTGATTAAATTTTTCAGGACTCAGCTGAAATTATACAAAGACTTAAAGTAGAATTTTTCTAAAGTAGGACATTTAAGAGGATTCAGGAGGAAATTAGCCCTATACATGAACCTAGATTATGAAACTGTACCCTTAAAAATAACCAGCAAAGCAACAACATAATTAGGGAGAGATCCTTTTCCATTTTTTATTTATCAAGAAAAGCACTGCACTTCTAATTCCATTTCTAATGCTAGGTTTATTGAGTTGGGCTAAATGTGGTATTTAAAGGATTAAGAGTGTGGTGATGAGGGCTGTGTGTCAACTTGGCTGGGCCTGGCTATGAGTGGCTGGGCAGCTGAATGTAATGATTCCCCATGAGGAGACTGGTAATCAAATCCATGGTGGAATCTACTCTGAGTGACTGCCTTAGGGATGTCATCTGCTTCCAGTATATATGAAGTTTTGAGGAAGGTCTCTGAACTTTTGGCACTCTTGGACTCTGCATGTAGCTGAGTCATCATTTAGCAGCCTATCATGTTGTCTGCCAATTTAGAAATTGTTTCTGGACCTGAACTCGTGGCCTGCCAGGTTACTTGATAATCTTGGGACTGTGCCATTTTAGTTGTCGACCTTGGGTTTGTCAGCCTCAGTACCCAGCAGCTACCTGAGTGAAGAGATGTCTCTGGCTCCAGTGAGCCAGGAGTAAGAAGCAGAGCTGAAGCCCAAGGTTGAGGGGCTTTCACCAGCCTCTAGAGCTGGCACTTTGAACTTGGACTTCTAGCCTCCTAAACTGTAAGAAAACAAAATCCCTGTTTGTTAAAGCCACCCATTTATGGTTTTTCCATTAGAGCAGCACTATAGAACTAAAACAGTGAGTTACAAACGTTGGGATGGACTTACTTAAGGAATACTTTTCTAAATCATATCTCATGTATTCATAGCAAATGGTTTGGAAGCAGGTGCTGCTCACCAAAAGATTACAATGCTAGGAATAGACTTCCAGGTCAGTTACAATAAGTAACTCAGGATCTCTTTCTGGACTCTCAAAGATTCTCACATGGTCATTTGAAAAGGAAGCTATAAGTCCTATCTAAACAGTCTTTACCATTTACTTGTTTCCAATATTTTTTCCAAATGAAGAAACAAGTAAGAGAGAAGGAAATAAAAAATGGAACTAACAAATCCATAAATCTGTCTCCTAAAGAGAAGTCAGTGGGCTAAACAATAACAGTATAGGCATCTAAAGCTAATTTAGATATATTTTGATATACTGATTATTGGATAAAAAAAGAAATTCAATGCCAAAGGGAAAAGAAAGGGTAAGTGATACTGTTCTATAATATGGTGCTACCTATGCGCTCCAGAAAAGCAGTGCAGTGTTAAGTGCTAATCTGCTAAGTGAAAGGTTGGCAGACCTTTTTAACATTATTAAAATAATATTTTAATGGCCAGAATCTGTGGACTAAATCTGTATCTTAGCATTTGTTATTCCATCCATACCTAGTTCTATCAAACTCTAACAGTTTGTCTTTATGCTGGATAGCCTTCTCTAGGCCAGTCTTCATTCGAGACTCCTGATGAGGAAGCAGGTCCTTGGGGGAGATATCCACCTTTCCAGAATTCTCCATCCCTGAAATTCAATAAGGAAATCAAATGGTGTCAGCCTATAATACAAACTTAATTGTATCACTGTACAGCAAAGAAAACATCAGCAGACCTAGTTCTGTCCCTGATGGCCTGGAGCCTTCAACTTCAATGGAAAACAAGCACACAGGCTAGGCATTATTTGTAGAACATCAAGCAGTACTTGACACATAATAGATTCTCAATAAACATTAGTGTTCTTTTCTTCTCTTATGGAAATTTGGGTCACTAAAGATACCAAATTATTTAAAAACACAACATAAAAATATCATATAAATAAATTTTACTGTATAAGGCTGAATATCACATTTAAACATACCTTTACATAACAAAACTGAAAACTAAACAATAAAAGAAAAAAGAGAAGAAATTTCAGAAGTTAGACATTAATAGTTAATGAGAAACTATTAGGCAGCTATTATATACTACATTATTTATATTTCACCATAACCTTGTAAGACAGTTTTTATTTTGTTTTACAGATAAGGAAACTGAAGTTCATAGATTACAATAAACCTATTGAGACTACTCAGTTAGAAGGAGCTCTGGTAGCATAGTGTCTAAGGCACTTGACTTGACTGCTAACCTGAAGGCTGGTGGTTCAAACCCACCAGCCACTCC